CTTCGAAGAGGGTAATATGTGTGTTGTGGGTTGGTAAGTGCGCACAGTGCACCCAGCGCTTAGCTGCGACGACATCGAGGCGGGATCAAATCTACGAGTGAGTGTGATCTTGATGGCAGCGTGACTCCGCGAACACACGTACGCATGTCTAGATTCCACACATAGCACACGTAGCATCACCTCCTTCGATTCGCTCGTTGATGGAGCTTCGTCGTTCATGCGGCTCTCTCCGTCCATCTGTGTTCGAACGTTGTGCGACCTGAATTTGATGGTTTCGACCACAGCAACAATCATGACACTGGATACTTCCGGATAACAGGAATAAAAATATTTAAAGAGATCTCGTACTAAGTATAGGAGAATTTTTAAAATACAACAAGGTCAGCGCTTCAACCACATTGTGTGCATTTCATTGGTTAACTTATCCGGAACAATTACGATCACGTCGTCCAGTGTTTGGCCACGTCATGTCGAGTTTGGTAGCTTCAGGTGCTTTGAGTAACATTAGTAGTAAGGAGCGCTCTCTTCTTCGAACCTTGCTGTAGTCGTGCACAAAATTTATGTCGAGCCCGTCAGCGTCAACGTATGTATATGACCTCAGTTTCATACTAGTACGAGGCATCGCCCAAACCCAGTGCCCAAATGAGTTCATTGGGCTTCTGGGTCGCAATGAAGTTGCGAACGTACACTCCAAACTTGTACGCAAGCAGGTCGTTTTTGTCGTCCACATGGACAGTCCATACACTTGGTGGCACGATACGTGCCAATCAACCGCGATTTCGTTCTGTCGGAAATGTCGAGTCCAGTAGATTGGGGGGCATCGAAGATTTGGGGACCGCAAGGACAGGGGGGGTCAAATCCATCGCGACCATGGCGTCGTTGAAGTCTTCATTCCATTTGGAGACGGGGATGTCCTGAAAGATACCTGTGATGTACGGGCGCAACAAGTCTATGGCAGCACTCTCCTGGCCAGAATTTGGTCGCTTGTATATATGTCAAGAGGACCACGCCCAGTTCTTGGTGGGGGACATATGAATTCCAGGTCTTGTGGACCCCCCTTGCGTAAAAGTGGTGGTCGAACAACAGAACGCCAACAATGTCCAGTTCGTATCCAGCCGTGAGTGTGCGTACTTATTGGGGGAAGAGGTGAGCCCCATATGAAGGGGGGATACTTCAGAGGCACCGCGTCCGCAACCATTTACCCCGTGATCGATTTGGAAATAGCAGCTTCCGATGAGAAGACGTCCTTGCCTTTGTTGTGGAAGAGCAAAAATCTGGATAAAAATGCGATTCGACTTAGGAACAAGGGTAGCAAACCCATGATTTGACCAATACCCCTGTACTTGTGCATATTGTGGGGTTTAACTGTAAGTTGGAAATGGCGTTTAGTGTGTCAGTGCACTTTGAACCTCAGATCAATCCATTTACATTCGATTTCAACGAGTC